GAGCAAGAGAGTGTGATCAATGTGCCATCTTAGAAGAGAGCAAGAAAAATAAGCAGGACCAGAATCTGTGCCTTATTGCCAAACTGGGTGAGATAAGTCACTGTACTATTTATTCTCCTATCACATAGAACAGTACCTACTCTGCAGATTAACACTAACTGTTGTGAGGAAGAACACATTTATGTTTTGCTTATACGTTTAGTTTAGATGCTTGAAGCACTTTAATATTCATTCACCAGTGTTCCCCACAGAATTAGGTTCTATTTGTCATGGTAGCTAGCAGGGGGTGGGTTTTACGCTTTCACAATAGGTTTTTGTGTGTGTTTTTAAATATAATAATACTAAAGTAGCTCTGTGCAGTTTGTCTGACCTGTCCCTTCTGCACTAGCTCTCCCACAGCAGCAGCATGTTGGCTGCTACCCTCCTCCTACATCTCTCTCTTCCTGACCCTCTCTTGCTGCAGCACTGGTTGAAGCCAGTAAATATTCAAAACAAATCAATGGATCTTTCCAATCCCACTGATTGGGCTGATCAGCCTTCCCACAAGTGTTTTTTGATATTCCCTTGGACTGAGGGAGCAAACATTCAGCTTCAGAGTTCATGAACTAGCCTTTTAGCAGTCTGCATACACCCATACTATACACAGCGTGCTGACCTCGGCAACAGCTGTGTTCTAATGTTACCTTAGCCAGTCTTACTAGCTTCTTAATGACATATTAGAAGAGTTGGGTCTCCGCAATTGGCAGAGTGGGATCTCTTCACAAATGGCCCATCGTCATGTGTATGTGTGCCAAAGAGAGAAATAGAGCTTTGCATGGAGGGACTGGGTATATACATGTGCTGTGCGTGGCACTACATTGAAATAAGATTTAACCTATTTTAAATCAATATGTGGCAGTCAGTGTTGGCACTGTCGTGGCCCGCCACAAATAAATCAATGTATGGGAAACACTGTCCATTCATTCATCTTTTATTTGTACAGGGTAGTCCAGTGAGAGCTATTTCTGACTCTTTTGCATGGATGCCCTGTTTACACAAGATAAAACACAAGCAAAACAAACATTTAACCTTTATTAATAGGTGAACTGTTGATAAAGAAGATATAAGGTTGGGCTTTTGCAATGACATCAGTCTTCTAAACTGTACTTTGTAGTTTAATGCTATATAATACAACTTTATTTAAACAGTATTAGAATATTGCTAAATGATGAATAGTCCCTTAAAATTAGCGGAATACGTAGTTTCTGTGGGACAAGTAGCTGTACACCTACCCCCTTCCCCCCAAGTGTCTTTCAGGCACATCATTTTTCCTTCCCTTGACAACAAGAGATAGCTACTGGCATGCTGATGGGCATAATGCTATTAACTGTGATGTAAATTGTGTGCCATTTGTTCCACAGAGAAGGAAAGAAACAGTCTTGAGGATGAAAACAGAAAACTACATGCAGAACTGCAAAAATTTAAGATGTACTGGTAAGATCTTTTGTATGGTATAGCCATGGTTTCTCAGCATGTTGTTTTTGCAAAGGTGTTTAAATAAATGAAATGCACACATTTACTGTAAAATCTGTCCAAGGCAGCTCTAAATACTGCACGTCTTACAGCTGATACAAACGTCATAGTGGTTTCATTTCTGCTTTGGATTTTACTATGTCTTTCACTATATTTTTTCCTTGACTGAGTCTAAAAAGTCTAGAATACCAGCTAAATGGAACATACAGTATATTGTGCCTGTCCCCAACAGAGCTGCCAGCCTGTGTTTTTTGTGTAGCAATTACTCATTTAGATATCAAAGCATGCTCGAATGATGTCTCTTTAAAGTGGTGACACCTTGTGAGCTTGACCTGTTGTGCAGTTATGTTAAAGTCTACCCCAATTGGCCTTCCTGCAGAAAAGCAAAAGAATTCGAAAAACAGTTTGACCAGCCATAGCGCCAGATGCCCCAGCCACACCGCACTGTCGCCTCCCCGCTGCAATAACTAATATTAATAATATGCAATAACTAATATTATTAGTTAACTAAAATAACATGAATATTAGTTAACTAATAATAATATTAGTTATTGCAGCTGAACCCGTAATTGCACCTTGGCAAAAAAAAGGTGCATGTGCTGCAAAAATGGACTGTTACTGGGAGAGCTGGCCATATCTCCAGACTTCCCCACCTTGCATTCTGCAGCCTGCAATAACATTACTGATACTAACATCAGTCATCAGGGCTCTGCAGGTTAATAGTTGAACATCAAATGATATGCATTTTCAGAGCAGTATTTACGTACTGACAATTGGTGTGAAGTAAAGGTGATGAACTTACGTAGACTTTGTCTGGGCCAGTCAGGTCTGAAAAAGGCACTCAAACACACCACACCGACTACAGCTAATGGCCAACTAGCCTGTACATTCTCCGCCTGCATGAGGAAGAACTGACTGCGGATATGCAAGATATAGACAAAGCAGCTCTTGCTCACCACAGCTGCCACTTACAGCTGCTTTTAATTGAGAATATGTCTGAGAAGATGCTGCAAATGGCACTGGTGTTGTCAGGCCATGGTATTTTGGTTGTGGAAGAAGAAAGGAGAAATTGCAGTAAATTGGTGAAATCATGGTTACTACAGAGATGGGCTTGGGGGTTTCCTGAGCCATTCTCTTCGTGTGCATGGATTCGCTAAGCTGAACAGCCAATCAGAATGGCCTCTTTCACTGATGCGGTCTGCTGTTGATTCAACATGCTGAATCGGTTGAAAAACTGCCAACAGGGTCCAACTAATGCTAACGGTGTAGGTCATTGTTGTGTAAATGGTGACTAAATAAGTTTCCCCTTTGGAGATGAGTAAGGTTTTTATCTCAATAAGAGCCCTCCATACATATCTAAAGGGGGACAGGTTGATGGCTCCAAGTTTACGGGTAAAGTTTCAATTCCCAGGTAAACATTATAGGTCTTATTTTTAACAGCTCACAGTGCCAGCGGGCTTCAACTCCAGAGGACAAAGACGGTTTCATCCCAGACTCCCCAGTCCTGCCGAGCTCACTGCCCATGGCAAATAAACTGAAAAAACGTAAACTTAATAAAAACAAGCATGTTTACTATGCAGAACTGCCTTTACCACCACCATCCAACAATTTGCTTCTCAATGGTCAGTCTGTTTTAAGTAACCTTCAGAATTTTTCCAAACCATTTATGAAGGCACCAAGTGTAACTTGTGGAGTTTTTGTTTTAGTGCCTGTTGAAGCGTCAAAGAATCCTGGAGGAGTGCTTGTACCCAACACCTGTGAATTGGACACATGCCAAATCTCAAGTAGGTGGTCATTTAAGTATGTGTTCACTGTACTCTGTCATTTCATTTTAAAATGAATAAAAACAGGAAGGGCCGTACATATTTGTAAGAACAGGAATTGGAGTTTTAGTATCTGACATGCTGGTTTGCTCTAATTTTGTCAGATCTTTTTCCCTTGAAAGACTGTGCGCACACACAGGGTATCTCAGAATCAGAATTTCATGCAAGGCCAGAGTAAGCAGAATTATTGGCACGCAGTTATGTTGGCATGGTGGGGGCTAATTGTAGTGACGCTGTGATCATTTCACTTGCATGGCTGTACAAATGTGAAAACTTATAAGGATGCCCTGGTGTGACTGATCCTTGTGTCAGGGTCGTGTACAAGACCAGGGCCCGTATTCACAAAGCATCTTAGAATTCTCTCAGAGAGCTCCTATCTTAGCCTAAAAAGTCCTAGCCGGGAGTCCTAGACTAAAAGTAATTTAGGAAACTTCTCAGAGCAACTCTGAGCAAGGAAAGTACAGCGGTCTTTTCCAGGATGACAATGCTTACACCTTTAGGGCACAAGGGGCTGAACGACATGATGAGTATGAAAATGATGTGAATCATATGCTGTGGCCCTCACGGTCACTGGATCTCAACCCAGCTGAACACCTACAGGAGATTATTGATCACCATCATCAAAATGCTAATTGCTAATAGTAGTAGTAGTAATTAGTGTTTAAAAACCTTCATCATGTGAAAGAGTCTTGTGCTTTCAGTCTCATTCATTCCCCCTAACCTCCTCTGCCTCATGTGGATTTTGTACTACGTCACCTCACTTCCTCCTCCAATTGTGTCATAATTACTACGGCCTAGAGGTCACCTAACCGTAACATATTTCTCTTGGTCGTAATAACCTGCTGGCTTAAATGACATATGGACTCACATTTTACAGGAGGACAGGCTCTCAGCAACAATAGATCAATAACATTATGTGTAAATGCCTAAGGTGCCATTTCGCTGCTGAATGGATGTTTTCATGTGTATCCTTCGTATCTCCATTCTCCATGTCACTGCTGTTGATGTTTGCTTCAAGCCAACACAAGGAAGATGCCATTGTCATTGAAGCTGTGTCTAGAAGGACATTTAGAGGCTTCTATATATATGAATGCATTGAATTTCAGATATATAAATATGTCTCCTTCAGGCTGTCATCTCTAAGTATAAACCTAGAACAACAGTCCTCTTTCTGTGATATGATACTCTCAGAAGTGGACGGGTGTTTCTTTCTTTCTATATATTTGAAGCATGAACTTAAACAAAGATGTATACGCTGCCCCGGACACACACACACCCCTAAATAGTTTTTAAAGCCCATATGGTAGTGTCGTCAGCAAATGTC